CCTCCCTCCCTCCCTCTTTCTCTCCCTCCCTCCCTCTTTCTCTCCCTCCCTTTCTCTTTCCTTTTTGACTTTGCATCTTGCCAAATTGCACAGGCTGGGTTTGAACTTGAGATCCTCCTGCCTCAGCCTCCAGAGGCCTGGGACTACAGACCTACGCCGCATGCCAGGCTAGGCCGCCTTGCTCTGATGTGCATGCTTTTACCTGGTGTGCGCAACCCTATCCTCAAGTGCCTGACACCACCAGCACTTCTCACTACAAACCTGTTCTGAGGCTCTCACCCGGGCTTGGTCAGGGATGGGAACCCACTTTCAAGATGGCTCTGTCACTGTTGACACAGGTGGTGGAACAGCTAGGCCCAGCAGGAATGTTCTGAGCAATCAGGCAGGGCTCAACCCTCCAGGGACTCTGTGGAGGACTGGAACAGCACACCACTGTGGTTGAGCTGCACCCACTGAAGGCCAGGCCTCAAGAGAAAGACAGAATGACCAGGGCTGCGCCTGTCCAGGGGATAAGCAATGTGTATAATTTATATCTCCTGACCCAATAGTCTAGTTGGCATCTGTCACCTGGGTGGGGTAACCTGGGCCTCCTGAGACATCCCTTCCTAACAAGGGCCTTGTTCTTCCCATGCACACTTGTTATGGGATCTGCTTCCCCTGTGGGTCAACATTACCTATGCAGCTACACTTGCAATCTATTTTATTGGTACATTTTATTTTATTTTATTATGTATTTAGTACAGGGTCTACAGGTTTGAGTACACAGACTGGACTCATAGTGATTCTCCTGTTTTCAGCCTCTCAAGCACTGGAATTACAGGGGCATACCACCATGCCCAGTCTCCAGTTGCTGTCTCAGTGTGCCCTGGGAGCGGGGAATTGAACCCTGGCCGCTGCATCTGCCTAAGCAGGCGCTTTAATCCGCTGAGCTATCTGGCCGGCCCTATTGGTACGTTTTAGATGCACGTAATGACAACATTCATCATATGGAGTTTGTACCTGTACGTGATATACCTCGCTTCTATTTGCAATCTTACTGGTGATCCTAGTTGTGTCCCGCCTTGTACCCATCTCATGATTTTGTGCTATAAAACTTCCTTCGAGAAGTGTGCTCTTAGTTATAGTTTGGGCCAGGGAGATGGCTCAGTAGGATAAGTGCTTGACTGGCAAATGCAAGGATCTGAGTTCAATCCCCGGTTCCGGAAAAAAAAAAAAAAAAAAAATCTTTTTGGGCCGGGGAGATGGCTCAGTGGAATAAGTGCTTCACTGGCAAGCACATGGCCTGAGTTCAATCCCCGGTTCCGCAAAAAAAAAAAAAAAAGAGAGAAGTGCGCTCTTTAGCACTCCATTTTCCTGGCCCCCTCCTGCCCCAGGAGCCATCTCTCCCTCAATAATATGTCCTACTCTTAACCTCCACTGTTCCTCAGAATTCATTCTTTGGTTCGGAAACATGAATTCAGCATATCTGACATTGAGCCAGCTGGGAGTTCCAATACTTCCCTGGATCATGTGGCAGTCCGTGTTGGTGGCCGTGGGCTGGCAGCTGTGGGCCTGTCCCTGCAGCCTCCTGAGTCCCAGGAGTGTATCCTCCCCATAGGGAGGGGCTCTGAGGATGGAGGCTGCCTGTCTCTGGGGAGAGAGGCGTTGCTTTGGCAACTGCATCACACCAGCAGGGTGCATCCCCACAAGGGAGGGACATAAGTCCCAGCTTTATCACTTCTCATGAGGAGCATGAGTGTGAGGCCCGCTCCCCAGTGCACCTGGGCTCACACCGTTTTCCTGTCTCAACATCCTCCGTTATGGCTTAAGGTCATTCTGATCTTTAGTGATTTTGTGGCGGGGGTGGGGGGTGGGGGGCGGGAGGGCAGGAATTGAACCCAGGGCCTTCACACTGAACTACAACTCCAGCCCTTTTTTAAAATCAGGAATTGAACTCAGGACCTTGGGATTGCCCGGCAGGTGCTATGCCACTGAGCTATCTTCCTGGCCCCTTTTTCATTTTAGAGATAGGGTTTGACTAAATTACCTAAACTGGGCTCAAGTTTGAGATTCTCCTGTCTCAGCCTCCTAAGTGCTGGAATTATAGGTGTGCGCCACAGAACCCAGATAAAAGAAGACTGCAGATGTGGTGGCATGTGCCTGCAATCTCAACACTCAGGGGGCTGAGGCAGGAGTATTGCGAGTTCAAGGGCAGCCTGAGCTACATAGCGAGACTACCTCTCAAAACTACTCCTCAAAAAGAAAACTTAAATTGGATTGTTGGACATGGCAAGTGTAGAGGCACAGGGCATGAGTTCTCCACGTGCTCGGGTCCCTGGAAATCAGGGATGGCCCTGTCGCTGCCCATGGATCCATCTGCTCATTTACTTCCAGCCCAGTCCTACCAATGTCAGCTTAGCTACTCTGGGGAGGCCTTGCCCATGGCTGGCCCACGGCTTCACCCTGGGGCTGAGCCATGCAGATGACTGGCTGGGAGGCTTTCTCCTCGGGGAGCCCTCGTTTATCCTCCAGCGCCTGGAGATGCCCATCTGTCTCGCTGTGGTGGCTCCCACTGAGGACAGTGCCTCCTTCCTTCATGGGCCTGAGGTCCCAGTGGGCCTCTCTCCTCTCTGCTGGGAACAGGACCGTCCGAGGGCACACACCGCCTGTGTCTCTTGAGTGCCAGCAGATCAGAGGCACGTGCTGTGGTCTGGCATGTCGGGCATCACACAGTGCACACAGCCAGGCCCAGAGCCTGTGCTTGCCGCCCCAAGGAGGTCTCTGGCTTGGCAGTGTGGGAAGGAGTGACTGACTGCTCTGTGGATAGGGGCAGTAGCTGCCTGGGGACAGCCCACTTTTCTCATATGTTATATATGCATTTGGTACAGGATCTCACTATGCAGCTCAGACTTGTAGTGATCCTTCCTTCAACTTCCCTGCGCTGGAATTACAGGCATGCACCACCACACTTGGTCTTGGTATCCAGCTCAGTGCGCCCAAGGTGGGGCTGGCACAGCATGCAGTACTGGAGATCAAACCTGGGTCCTTGTGCTTGCCTAGGTAGGTGCTTAGATGACACTGATTGGCTGACCCCGGGTCCCAGGCAGGGGAGGGGAGGGGTGGTGTGGCCTGGTCTCCAGGAGACGTGTTGGCCAGGCTCAGGGCTGAGCTATCTCCGCAGCCCTGGGTGTGTATTTTAAAAAAATTTACTGCTTTTGGTGTTTTGAGTCTATGTTATGGTTTGTGTCTAGTTGTCCCCCCACAGCCTCATGCAGTCATGGGTGGACTTGTAGAGTTTGTGATGAACTCATGATCCACTGGGATTGTGGGTGTAAGTGCTGCTGGGATTATGCATGTGAGAGCTACACCCAGCCTGGGCTGATAGCCTGCATGCAACTTAAGGGAGACAGACGTGCTCTCTGTAGCCATTGCTGCTGCTGCTGCTCCTCCATTTTGCTCTTTGCTGCCACCTCAAAGGGCTGTTCTCTGCCATATGCCACTGTGTCTTGGAACCAGTTGAGTATGGACTGAAACCTGCAGTAACTGTAAACTAATCCTTCCTTCATTTTGAGTGTCGGGTATTTGTCTCAGCAACGAGAGAAGAGTAACTCAGACAGTAGCCAAGGCTAGCCCCGAGTCTGCATCAACCCTCCTGCCTCAGCCTCCCCAGTGCTGAGCTCACAGAAATGCACTGTGGACATCTGCTACAGTGGCCCTGGAGTGGCATCCTCTGTGTCCATCTCTTTGGGACAAGCTGTGGGCCCCTTGGAAGTGCCCAGGCATTCTCTAGCCCAGGCTTAGGCCTACTGTCGGGGGAGGGAGCAGGTGCCTGGGACAAATGACAGAGCCAATGAGTTCCTCTCACAATGAGGACTGTGTCTGTCACCTCTTTTATTAACAACCTCATGGGGGGGCACAGAAGGGACTGTCTCTTTCCTGGGGCCTGGGGACATCTGTCTTGCCCATGAGCCATATTACATGGATTCAGTGATGCTCAGTGAATGAACGAAGACAAAGGACTTGGCTTTTACAGAGTAAGAAGACTGTTGGGCCATCTGTCTTGTCTTTTTGAGACAGGGCCTCACTATGTAGCCCAGGTTGGCCTCAAACAGGGTAATCCTCCTGCCTCAGCCTCCCAAGTGCTTTGTGGCAAGTGTGCCCACCACACCCAGCTGCAAGGGAAATCTGCATGAAGGTAAGTCACCCAAGACCTGGTCACAGCAGTCAGTCTGCCTACGCCACTTGCAGAGACCTTGGTCCCTGTGGAAAAGCAGTTTCCTTCCTGCCACATGGTGGGGGCTTCCAGGTGCCACCATGCCGTTGGGCCATGGAGCAAGAGCAAAGGGCTTCCTGGCTGACAGCTGGGCTGCTCCCAGCTGATCTCTGGTGATCCCTCGGAACAGCCTGCAGCTCCCCAGCCTGCAGCTGACAGGACGTGGCACAGTGTTGGGGTACAGGGTAGCTATCCGTGGGCCTCATGGTTGCACTGACTGGGCCGGGATGCACCCAGAGGGCTGCTCCCCACAGTTATCTCTCCACCCTTCTGCTGGATGTTCCCAGAAGCTCCTGAAGACAGGCAGAAGGGATGACTTGGGATGATCCTTCAGGAAAGACTGGTGGAGCCATGGCTGCACCCCACTTCCTGGCACTCCAGGGATGCCAGCCTTGCCCACACAATCTGGGGGCAGGAGTGCAGGCTGAGGCTGCTCTAATGGGAAGACTGTGTGGGTGGCCTGTCTGTGCCCCAGGTCCCCAAGGGTGCTCAAGACGCCAGGCAGTGTCACTGGGAGCCTGACCCCTCTAGGTGGGCTGGTGGCTGAAGCCTCTCCAGCCCGGCCTCCCTCTGTCTGGCATCCTGGCATTGCCAAGATGAGACACTGAGACACTGCCTCCTGTCGGGGTGTGGACCCAGCTCTGGGGGCTCCAGTGGGGAATGAGGGGACAGCAGAGCAGAAATGGGGGGCAGGGTGGACACAGCGCCCCTGCAGGTGATGGTGGCCCAGCCATGCATACTAATGATGCTTCTAATCAGCCACAATGGGGCTCAGCATCAATCTGCCAGGCAGCCAGCTGTGAATCACCCAAGTGGACAGGAAGGTTCTGGGGCTGCTAACCCTGACTCAGCTGTGAGGGCGGAGCTGCAGCCGGGCTCTGGGCTTCCACACAGGCGCAGGCATGCTGCACACTTGATTTTATTCCACGACACTGATTGGCTGACCCCGGGTCCCAGGCAGGGGAGGTTAGGGGTGGTGTGGCCTGGTCTCCAGGGGACGTGTTGGCCAGGCTCAGCCTTTCTCTTGGTCCCACCCGCTCCCTTCCAGTTCATTTTTTAAAAATTGAGATGCAAAAATTAAATGAAGAAATAAAAATAAAAACAAACCCCTGAGTTGTTAAAAACCAAATTAAAAGTCCCCTTTGGTGTCAACAGGTCCTCTTTCTAAAAGCTGGCGGGTGGACAGCCTGGTCACTCCTTGGCTCAGGCCTCAGGCTCTAGGTCCTCTGGCTCCAGGTCTGGCTCCTTGGCCTCCAGGCATGGGCAGCCCTTGGGGCCCGGCCGCTTCAGGACAGCCCTGTACTTGAGGGCCACATCCTCGGCTTGCAGGACCACCTCCACCAGGCTGAAGATGGTGACGACCTGTGCCGGAGCCCACAAGGGAATGGGACAGGAAAGGGGCCTGAGGTCAGGCCTGCCATTCTCTGTCCAGGGGAACCCAAGGGGGCTGGGTGCTGGGGCCAAATTGCTCTGGGGCACCAGGTGTGAGGTCTGCAGCACGTCATTCTCACAGAAGCCCCTGGGTTAAGAACCTACCCACGGACGTCCCTAGGTGCAGGTCCCTGAGGATGTCTGAGATGCTGCTGGGGTGACAGGGGCATGGGCGGGGACATTGGTGCTGACCTGCTGTGCTGGCTCCTGCATGGGATCCTCGGGCTCCCACACCAGCGTGAGCTCGGGCTTCCTGCCCACCTTCTGGAAGTGGTAGGACCGCAGCGCCAGGGCCTGGGGTACACATAGCAGGACCTCAGGCCTCAGCATGGCTGTGCCTCTTCACCTGCAGCCCTGGCCAGCCCAGGCTTGGAGGTGTCCCTCAGCCCTGGCACACCTCCACCTGGCCTCCCCCTGGAGCCTGGCCTCTGCTTCTCACCACTTTGGGCTGTGGCAGCTCCAAGGGTGACCCAGTGGCCAGTGGCAGGACTGGGGCTGAGTCCCTGCTGGCAGTGGGCCTCCGGCCATGGGCTGACTGCAGCGCTGACCTGGACCTGAACTTTGGACCCCTCGGGGACCTTCGGCACTTTGTCTTCAGTGCTCACTATCTCATTAGCATCATGCAAACTGGGGGGCGCATGGCTGCTAGGGCCGTGCCTGGTGCCCGCATCATGACAGGCGTTAAGGCTCATGGTCACCTGGGGAGGAGCCCGGCCCTGCTCTGCAGAGTGACAGGAGTCTCCTTGTCTCTCCTCTGCAGCCACAGGACCTGCCACCCCTGCTGTTCACAGCCAGGCCTATTCTTGGGTGCAGATCCTGGGGAAGCTGTTTTCATCCCAGGCGGGCCCAGCGGGTGACCTGGCAGGGCCATCAGGCAGATATGGGTCACTGCTACCCACAGCTGAGTGAAAGCACAGCATGGGACAGCAAGGAAGGACAACTGTGCTGCCACTGGGGCACGGGAGTGCAGACAGGTGGGGAACAGGGTCCTCCAGGGTACTCACGCTGCAGTAGATGCGCTTCTGTACCCCATAGCGCAGCACCAGCACGTCGAAGGCTTGGTTCAGGACGCCCATCACCATGGCCTCAGACTCCAGGGGTCCGCTCTCCTGTGGGGACAGCGCTCCAGCACAGTGCCCTCTGGGGCCCACCACCACCCGGGGCAGTGGGACAGGCGCTCACCTTGACCAGGATGCCAAAGAAGAGCCCAGTACTGAGCTCCTGCACGCGCTTGGACGCCATGCGGCGGTCATTGCAGTGGTCAGCCTGCTTCTGCAGGGCATTGGGCTCCACATCCAGCTGCTCCCTGTGGCCTGGAAGAGGGGCAAGACTGACATGGGGCCAAGTGGGGTGCCAGGCTGTACGTGCCAGGTGCTGGCCGGGATGCAGGGGACGCGCCGCAGCTTCCCCCACTGCTGTGGACACAAGGCTGTCCAGGCGGGCTCCCACCCAGGTATGCGGTGCTCTTACCCAGCGCAGCAGCCAGGAGCCGATGCACCACGATGTCCGCGAAGCGGCGGATAGGGGAGGTGAAGTGCGTGTAGAGAGGCACATTGAGGGCGTAGTGGCGGAACTGCGCCTGGTCCTGCAGCACCCCGGAGCAGAAGTACAGCGCCATCTGTGGGCGGGACATGTGCAGACAGGTGAGACCCAGAGCCTGGAAGGATGTGTGTGTGTGTGTGTGTGTGTTGGGGGGGAGGTTCCACATAGACCCGACAGGCCTCCCAGTGAAGCCAGGCATGCCTTGGCAACTGTGCCCATCATGCATGAGGTGCCCAGACCCCCACTGTGCTCCAGGCTCATGGTGGCCCCACCCCAGGCCTCCTGGGCTTACAGCTTGAGCACCCAGAGTGCCCAGACAGCCCTAGCTTTGTTGGGGACAGGGGTGCTAAGAGCCTCAGGATGCTGAGTGGCCTCCTACCAGGACCTGTGCCACGGGATGGACTGGGGCTTACAAGGACAGAGAACAGGGAAACCAGGGACTACCCTGGCCCCAGGCTGGGGGCCCGAGCTGAAGCTGAGGAGGCTGGACAGATCTCTTCAGGAACACAAAGCAGAGGCTACCACCTGGCCTGAACAGGAGGGGCCAATCCCACAGAGCATAACACCTGTAAGGGACCCCAGCCTGTGGCTCAGTAGCCCTTATCCTTATATCTAAAGGCCACATCTGCACCCTGTGCCTTGTGCCCCCCACACCAGCCACAGGAGGATGTCGGCCAACTCGACCTATTCCTTTCTGACAATCCAGCTCTCCCTGGGGCCAAGATGCACAAGCCTGAATGCCTATGGCAGGGGTTTGAGCTGGGGTACAGGGAGACATTGGGCCTCTCTGCAGGCCTAGCTCAACCTGGAGCCTGCCGCAGGCCCCAAATGAACAGGCCAGCACCTCTGCTCAGGAGCATGCATGGGCTCCTGTGCTGGCTCCTGGCTACAATCACACATGCCAGTGTGAAGGCCAAGCACTAGCACAGGTTGCTGTGCTGGGACCCGAGTCCAGGGTGTGGCTGGAGGGAATGGGATAGGGACTGGGACTGTGAAGTCCTCACTCTGCCTCTCTTCCAGTTCTGCTGGGCTTTGGGTCTACCCAGGGCAGATTGCTGGAGGAGGCAGGTGCAGCTTTCAGTGCAGGCCGTTTGGGCCCTGTTCTCAGCAGTGGCCAGATTGGCCAGACAAGCTGGGGTGCGGGGGAGTAGGGCATGCTCCCTCCTGGCTGTTGGAGCTGTCTGGGAGGATGGGATGGCTGGGGACCAGTTTCCTGCAGTGACGACCACCCCTGGTGTCCTTCTCAGTAGAGCACTTGGGACAGAGGATGCACCGCCCCTGCCCTGGTGCCCCCACCGCAGGTGCCCTGTCCTGCACTGTCTGAGCCACCATAAATAGCCGAGTTGCAAGAGCATGAGGACCCTCAGCACCTGCTGCTCTTGGATCAGGCAGAGGCAGCCTCTGCTTCTTGGCAGCCAGGGCCAGGAGAACTCAGTGTTTTTGGGCTCTGTGCAGCTCCTGGCCCAAGGAGTTTCCCCAGGTGGGGCAGAAACAGCAGGGCAGAGAGGGTGGCTGTAGGGACCCCTACTCTGTGGGTACTGCCAGGGACTTGAGGTATTACAGTCTGAACAGAGCTCTGAGGTGTCAGGAGAGAAGTCAGCTGAAGCTGACTGAGCCCACTTGACTTGCAAGAACAGAGATCTGTGAAGTGGGCGGCCTGAGTGGGCTGGGCTGTTAGCACTGTAGCCCCAGCTGCCCTGACAGTCCTCAGTGATGGCCCATTTCTCAGGATACTTGGCCTGGTGGGGCTGGAGCGTAGCAGCAGCAAGGCCCCCTGTCTGCCCACAGGCATCATTTCTCCTGGCTGAACTCCATGCCTGCGGGGGAGGGCAAGACCTGTTCTCTTGCCTGGTGTCTCTGGCTGGCCCCAGGGCAGACTGGCCAGGAGCTCAGAGAACGTGGTACTGCTCCCCCATCTCTGGGGCTGCCTGGGGTGTCTTCCCTCCACCAAACATGTCTCCCAGCTCCTCTCTATCCTGCCAGGCCTGAGCACAGGGAGAACAGAGGCAAGACTTCTCCTTACCTGCATGGGCCGGGAGAACATGCTGGTGAGCACCTCCTTTCGAGCCAGCGAGTACTTGTCATCTCCAAATATTGTTGTTAGACTTTTCTAGAAGCAAAGCCCAGAAACCCAGGTAAGATGTAGCCAGGCTTAGGGAATGGCTCTGGGCCTCTGTCACCTGTTGACCATCTGACACACTGGGGAAAGGTTCAGATAGCTATATTGGGGTGTGGGGGACAGCCCATACCCACTGGGTCTGTAATCAGCTACTGCCTGGGCAGAAGGATGCCCAGCTGTCTGATCTGGGCCCCCCCAGGGCTCTGTGGAGCATTTGAAGTCCCCTTCTCGTGGGATCAGAGCCAGGATCCTGGGGTCCTCAGCCCCATGTGGCATAGTTCCAGGCAGGAAGCACCCCAAACTACTACTCATCAGAACCATTCCTGGCCTCCAATAATCCCAGTGCCTGTACCAAAGGCTCTGGGCCCCAGCACCCTCTGCAGCCCTCTCCACCTCCTGTGACTCAGGCCTGTCCCCTGAGGCCTCCTTCCGAGCTGCAGGGGAGACCTGGCCACAGGCAAAGGGACCCTGGAGGGACACAGAGGCTACCACAGCCCTGACTCCTGGGCATTCTCTCTTCTCCCTCCAGAGGGCTGCCAGGCATGGTCTACCCACCCACACTCACGTTGAGGGCACCAGCAGAGCTGACATCCACGGCCAGCCCCATCTGCTCACAGAACTCCACCAGGTCACCCAGCATCTTGGTCTGCGGTGGGGGGTGCCGGCGCAGCAGGGCCTGCTCTGGGAAGGCGCGGTGGATCTTGTGGGCCACTGCCATGTTGGCCAACAGCATGAACTCCTCCACCAGCCTGCAGGGGAGGGTGGGGACATGAGGGACCCTCTGCTGGCCACAAGCATCCTGCAGGGCTCTCACTTTTCAGGTTCTCAGGCAGAGTCAAGCTCTCAGGCACCTGATCTGATTTTCCCCATTCTGTCTGTGCCAGTCCCTTCTCATGACCTTCTTGCACCAACACGTATGCATCACATTTCTCTTCCGCTTTGTGTGTGCCCTGTTCCCTGTGTCAGCCAGGGTTTCCCAATGACCTGCAATGGTGAGGTCTCACACCTGCTGTGGCCCCACTGCTTAGCCTACAGGGATCTGTCCTAGGATGAGCCAGCAGGGTTTGCCGCATATCTGACCAAGCTGTTGGGGTACAGCAGTCGTGGGCTGAGGGCGGGGAGGTGGAGATGGGGTGTCCAGGTACACAGCACCCTCCTCTTGCTCCCCCAGACTGTCTCACCAGGAGCCCTCTGAACAGGAAGCAGCATTTGTGGGCAGGCAGCCAGGGGAGGCCCAACAGCCAGGATGCCTGCTCCGTCCACAAAAGGCCCCGCCCACAGCAGGGACAAGGCTCAGGCTTCAGCCGGCCTTTGCGTGCTGTATACTACATAGAGCGAGTAGCTTCCCTGTCCGATGATATCCATAGCTTTTCAAGTGGCCACTGTCCTTTGACCTCTTTGTCCTGTGCCCCTCACTTCTTTCCAGAACGCTGGGATCTGGCACCTTCCCAGCCACTGTGCTCTCTGCCAGGCAGTGTGAATCCTCACTCTGCCTTGCTCTTGCTGTGGGAGTCTGAACGAATCACTGCCTTCTTCCCGTTCAAATGTAAACAAACTGCCACTAGCCCCAGCCCACAGACTGCCCGAGACACAAGTGGCACCCTGAGCCGCCCTTCTGAGCCTTCCCCCACAGCCAGGCTCCAGTCTTCGCCAGTCTCCCTGGGCAATGACTGTCCCAGGGCTCCTGTGTCACAGCCTAGTACCACTGGGCTCTTCTTTCTTGCTTTTGCACCCAGACCTTATCAACCCAAAAGGAGCCCCTGTTCCCACTGGGCAGCGTCCAGCGCTGTCACTGCCAATGCTCAAGTGCTTGTGTCCATTCATCTGTGCGCTCACCCACTCGGAAGACACTGCCCTAGGGTCCAGCACATTCTAGACAGCTCCCCACGCAGGTCCGGAATCTGCTATGCCTCGGGTGAACAGGACACCTGTAACCTCATGGCTAGCCCAGGCTGCACTTCAGGAACACGGCCGGCAGGTGGCAGCACAGCCCCACGGCAGGGCTGCGCGAGGAGCGGCAATGCGCTCTAGCCTTCTAGCGGTGCAAGCGCCTTCTAGGCTCCAAGTTCCTGGAAGGAATCGTCCGCTTCCCCTCTCCTGGTCAAGTAACGATGAGGGCAGACCAGAGGACAGGGGACAGGGGACAGGGGACAGGGGACAGAAGACAGGGAACAGGAGCGGGCGGGCCACGAGTCCCACGCACTGGCAATGGACCTCGGGCAGTTGCTTAGACAGTGACCCCATCACTTGTCCTCTCTGACCTGGCTCTGTCCCAAGTCACCTAAGGTCTGGGGAGGAAGTGCGGCCGCTAGCTAACCTTGACAGGGGCAGGGAGTTCATGGGGAGAGGCAGACTTCTTTCCCGGCCCTGCGTAGTCTTCCCAGTGGTCCAGCCGACCCTTCCTCTGTGAGCTCTGGGTGACAGCCTTTCCCCCAGGCAGTTCGGGAGGCATTCAGCACCCACCCCAGACAAATGCCACTGTCACCGTCCAGGGAGATGGTGCAGCGGTCTCATTCCCGGAATGCTGGTAAGGCTGTGTGTGAGGGCAGCTGCAGGGACCCATTTCCCAGTTTTTTGTTTGTTTGATTTTGTTTTTTCTTTTTTGAGACGCAGTTCAGAATGCTCCTGAGCTGACTTTGTAGCCTGGGCTGCTCTTGAACTCCCAACAATCAGCCTCCCAAGTGCTGGGAATACAGGCGTGCACCACTATTTCCCATTTTAACATCCTCCTCCTGCTTGCAAGGGGATGGGCTTGCAGGCCCTAGTGCAGGGCCCCACGAGCCTCCAGGTTGGGACCCAGCGGCACTTGGAAGAGGAGGGCCAAAGGCAGCAATCTACCCAGCAACCAGAACACCCTGAGCTGAACATGCCCCAGGGAATGGGGGCTAGCATCCAAAGTCAAAGTCCTGGAGTGTGGACATCTCTGGCCTCCCCTGGGACCACCCTGCCAGATGGCCAGCAGGGGGCACCCAGCGTCTTCCATTCCAGGACCTGGGAGACAGCAGGAGAAAGCTTAGAACCCAGGGACTTCTGGGCAGGGCAGAGTCCGGTGGTCTGAGGGCACCTGGAGTTCTCAGTCAGTGCTCTGGGACTGAGGGGAGCAAACAGCCTCTGCGGGAGTCCAGGGCTAAAGGAGACTCAGACCTCTGAGCCCCTTACCTTGTCACACCCTCCCCTGAGAGAAAGGCTGTGAACACTGACTGGCAGCAGCCAAGCCTGAGGAGATAACCCAAGCTGTCGTGGGCTCAATCCTGAAAGGGCAGGGTGGAGGGAACAGCTGTGGAGGGGAGCAGCCCTGCACATTGCCCCAACGCCTGCCCTCGGTCACAGGCCACCTCCTCATGGAGGGAGGAGGGAAAGCTGGCACTAGCAATGGCCTGACAACTGCTCCCAATAGGTCTCAGGAAGGCTGTCCACCAGGTCACCTTCCAGAACCCCCAGCCAAAGCCTTGCCCAGGGCCTGGCATCTGCAGCACATCTGGAGCCCTTCACTTCTGTGGCCCTGCAGCTCTGGAGGTCTGGGTGGGCCTGTGTGTGAAAGATGGCTGTGCCCCAGCTAGGCCCCGCAGCACCCACTCTTCAGCCCTCACTAGCAGCATCTCCTAGCAGCTCTGTGCCCACCACAGTCCCTAATGGCTTCGTGGGCACAGGCCACAAGCAACCTCCACATGAATACACACCATGAATACACATCTTTCCACAAAGCAAGGATGATTTCCATCCAGAAAGGCATCTCCCCAAGTGTATTAATGTTACTTAAAGTGCAAAGTACGGTGCCAGGCAGATAGCTTAGCAAATTAAAGCACCTGCTTAGGCAGACACAGAGACTGGGATTCAATTCCCCGGTATGCTGTGCCAGCTCTGCCCCTGGGTGCACTGAGACGGTGGTTGAGACTGAGCGTGGTAGCACACTCCTGTAATCCCAGTGCTTGGAAGGCTAAAAACAGGAGGATCACTATGAGTCTGATCTGTGTACCTGTGTAGTGAGACCCTGTACTAAATACATTAAAAAAAAAAAAAAAAAAAAAAAAAAAAGGAAAGAAGAGAAAAGTACGGTAGGAAAGAAGAGAAAAGTACGGTGGGCATGATGGTACATGCTTGTAATGTCAGCTGCTTGGGAGGCTGAGGCAGGAGGATCTAAAGTTTGAAGCCAAACTGGTAAGCCAAATTAGAACCTGTCTCAAAATAAAATTTCAAAAAGGAGTGGGGATGTAGCTCTGTGGTAGAAGGGAGCCCTGGGTTCAATCACCAGTACTCACCCCCTGGAAGTATTCTGTAAATACAAGTGTCTGTGAAATGCTGGGGGTCAGTTTAGTTTTACCAGAGCCTACCCAACTGCTTACATGATGGTAACGTGCCCGTAAGGTAACCTTACAAAAGGGAGCCATCTGAGGACTGACCCTGTCTTATGTCTTAAAGGAGGATGTGTGGGGTTGGAGCAGGTAGAGGAGGGGGCAAGATGCCTGCCCCTTCTGACAGTGGCTGTCCAGCAAGCAGGGGCATGATCTGAGGCCCAGCCTTAGGCAGACCATGCTGTTGTTGCACGTCCCATGCTTTGAGTGGCCCAGGTCCCAGACTAGATGTCCTTCCCACACTGCGCAGCCTGTAGCCCTTTCCCCTCAGTGGCTCCCTCCGGTGTCCAGATTGCTCCCCATCTCTACCCTGTCCCACCTGCCAGCCACACTGATTCTTGTGGCCCCCTTGACTTCTGTCCTTCCGCACTGTTGTCCCCACAGTCTGGAGGTCCTGGCTGCTCCTCTCTAGTCTCTTTTCCTTGGCTGTTGCTTGCCATGGGGACACGAGGGGGGACCTGCCCCTTGTGCTACTCCCTTCTACCCACTGTGGCACCGGGCCTCTGGCTCTCTAACTGCGGTGACTTCTTGGCCCCAGGCCTTGTCTCCTCCCCTTCTGGTGCCTTGTGCTCAGGCCTGGTGCAGAGTGAGGGATGCTGGGATGGGGCACAGCAGGCTGCAGTTCAGGAATCCATGGTGGTCCCTGTCCCTGTCACTTCCCAGTTGGCTACACAGGAAGCATATACATGGTCTTACCCCTCTCTGGGTGAGGGTGCTATAATGCACATAGGAAGGGATGGGCTTCTGTCCCAGATCCCTGAGCAGCAGCCTCCATGTGTCCTGGGCACTGCTGCGCCTGTGTGCCTCGGCTGGCTCCAGGAACTCTGCTGGGAATATGCGTGTACAACGCAAGATCATTCCAAGAATGCTGAGGAATGACATGTTTAACATGAAAGTGATGCAGTGGTGATAGTGTAGGAGAAAAAGCAAATCCAAACTGGAAGCACCAGGCATGGGCAAGTCTGGAAAGAGAGGAGTAGGGGGCAGGGTGGAGGGAGAGGCCTGAAGGCTCTTGCACACACGCAGGGGAGGGTATAGGGCAGGGCATGCTGGGAGCACCACTAGGAGCTGTGGGGATGCACAGCATGGTCCCAAGGCCCTGGTGGGAATGGGTAGGAGGAGCAAGGCCAGCAGCACCCTGTCTCTGCAAGGAGAAAGGAGCAAGGCCTGTGCCCATCAGAGCAACAAAGGAAGAAGCCAGCTTATGATGGACCCAGGATGGGTCAGCCTCCTTGGGCTTATAGACTGCAGGCAGGTGTGGGTAAGATCTGGTCAGCTCTGCCTGTGGCTCTGTTCCCTCCTGGAAGTTGGTGGCTGAGGGTGGGTGGGTGGAGGCTGTGTGGTCAGAGTGGCAGGGCCTCTGAGGATGCCCAGTTTTCAGCTCCATTTACCCCTGA